ATTAAAATGTATAATTGTTTTATTAATCAAGTGGCCAAATTCTGACTGAGGAAAGTTGAATGCACTGGCCAGTTTGTTATTTGCTTAATAAATGACAACAGGCTACTTAGCATAATAGGTCGTTTTTAATTTAAAACTTTAACAGATTCATTTTTCCTAATGATATATGATCAAAAATAATATGTATAAACAAGTTTTCATATTCCTTCATTCTAAATCTTTAGAAAATGTTTTGGTACATCAAATAGTGTGGTTATGATGACCACCCGACAAGCCAATCCACACAGTAATAAATTCCCAGAATTTCACAACATGTTACTGTAATTTTTCACAGTAAATTACATTAGTGTCACTTTACAGGAGTTACCTGTTAAATTTAACATATTCTGAATTTTATTGTGAAATTAATGCAGACATCATGATTACAGCAACTTACTGTAAAAATGGCTATATCTTTTGCATGTTAGTTATAGGAATACAAACATTAATGAGATTTTATTCAACATAAAAATGAATACACTAACTTTTATGCTAGTACAGGCTATTTGTTGATAATTAGAAATATTTACAGAGTTATTGGTATTATGACGTACCTCATAGTAACTTACTGTGAATTAGCATACAGTACCTTACTTTGAAAGTATTGCAATTATTAGCCAGTAATTTACTGTAAATTTAGGGTCAAATATTTTACAGTGCAGAAATTAATAGTGGTTAAAATGTCGCTAAAAATGCAGTAGCTTTTTAAACTATAAATACTTAACTTCGTAATTAAATAGAAATGAGAAAATTAACTGTAAGGGGCAACTTTTTAAGAAAAAAGACCCCCCTTTCACCATGCTGGCTATGGGCCTGACCTGTAGTGACCTTTATTAGCTCCATAAACTGATTAAGCCCAATTAAATATGGACACTTATTATGAAGTATTGACATGCATAGATGATTAGTGCACATGGTAATTGTGTGCACTAACCTCCCAAACACAAAGCAAAATGCATCTGTTGACAGTGATCTAGTTAAAATTCCAAACCATGATGATTTTTTAGTCACTGATAAATGACTTTTGATGATACCAAGCCTGCAAGATGCCAGATTGTTGCTATGGTAACCACAGTGTCAATCATGTCAGATCCAAAATGTTATGAAACTACAATATTAAGGCATTCAAATGTACGTGGTCAAAATGCTAATTTACTAGACTGACTCTCATAACTTCGCACTGTGTATGTGGCCAAATAACCTAATAAGCATCTGTTGATCAGTAGATTTTCTTAGTTGCTAAATCCACTTAGATCACGGCACAGGCCACAGATTTAATCAAAGCTCCTGAGCTTAACTAGCAAATGCTTGAGGGCTTTAGGCAGGCCTTTAGTTTCAATATACCAGCTGAAAAATTAAGGTTTATTATTAATGTTCTCTACATGTCTATTAATAATAATCGCATAATAGTGTTTAATAAGGGATAATTCGTGAATTGCTCCATAATTTATCACTGTCACACGGCAAATGAATTACCCATGGTGCTCAATTGAGGCGTCTGAACGCGTAAGCCATTTTCTTGCATCTGTCTTGCCTTTAGGTTTTAAGTAACGTGGCAGATAAATGACCTGATGCCGCAAGCAAAATTGGATAATTAGATTATTAGTGTCTTAGCGATGTAATGTATGGTTATATATCTGAAGGTATGCGCTGAGGGTATTCTGCAAACCGCATGAGGCAAATCGTGTATGGTACTTTAATTACATTTCTTATGACCTTCACCTGGGATTTTATAAGTCGGCCCTTTTAAGCATGTTTCTTTTGTTGGGAATAAGTTTTCTTACTTGGTTGAAAATATAATTATTTTTTAAACATATTAAACCAGATATACAGTTGAAGTCAAAATGTTTAGCCCTTCTGTGACTTTTAGAAAAATATTTTAAATATTTTTAAACACTTTCCAGGTGATGTTTAACAGAGCAAGAAAATTTCACAGTATGTCTGAAAACATTGTTTCCTCTGGTGAAAGTCTTATTTGTTTTATTGCGGCTAGAATAAAAGCAGTTTTTAATTTTAAATACAATTTTAAGGTCAATATTATTAGCCCCTTTAAGCATTTTTTCTTCGGTTGGCTACAGAACAATCAATCATTATACAATGACTCAGTGGTGCCTGCAGTCGTACAACTGTACACACTGTGCGCACCTACCATAAGAGGGCACGAATTATTGCCGCTTTTTTATTTTATTTTGTTTACATAACTTAAATTGATTAATAAACAGTATACACTATGATATATTTATAAGCAAGACAAAATGAGGATTAATAAAGGTGTGTGGTCGGTGTACGGTTAAATTTTTTTTTTCCAATTTTAAACGCAAGAAAGGAAACAAAGAAAACTGATGTTTTTTTTTTTGTTTGTTTGTTTTTTCGTTTGCTTACGAATAAATAACAAAAATATTGGATTTTGGCTCGAATTTAGTTTTTTTCTGGTTTATGACTTTAAAATTCATTATACACATGTAGGCGGTGCTGAAACAGCCAATTTCCTCTGGTTGGTCAACCAAATCTGAGCTTGTGACATGGCCCTCAAAATAATAGTCCTCTGCGGATCAGCACCCAGGCCTATTATTATTATTATTTAATTATACACTCTCAGAAATAAAGATAAGAGAGCTGTCACTGGGGCAATACCTTTTCTAACGGTACATATTTGTAGCTGAAAGGTCCATAGTGGTACCTCAAAGGTACATTTTAGGTGTCATGTGTAGTAATTTATCAGGTCAGGGGTGTAATATACATTTTTAAAAAAAAAAGGGGGGGGGGGGGGTTGGCATCTGTATGAGAACCAAAAGTTTACGTTCTTGATCACCTGTTTCTAAATGTTCTGTCTCTAAAAGTGAAAGGGGAAGTATCCCCCGCCCCCAGTTGCTACGCCACTGCTCGAGGTACTACTGTGAATTCACTATTAGGTACAAATACAAAGCTTTTGAAAAGGTACGGCCCAAGTGACAGCACTTGTGCCTTTACTTCTGAGAGTGTTTATATAAACTAAGTTTACATATTCTATCATTTGGCTTGCCAAATTAACTTGCCTAGTTAACCCAATTAACCTAGTTACAGTAAGCCTTTAAATGTCACTTTAAGCTAAATATTAGTATCATGAAAAATATCTAGTCATTGTTATATTATGTACTGTCATCATGTCAAAGATAAAATAAATCAATTATTAGAAATTAGTCAACTATTATGTTTAGAACTGTGTTGGGTGAAAAAAAAAAACACGTCTTTTCGTTAAAACAGAAATTGAGGAAAACATACAGGGGGCTAAAATGCAGGAGGGCTAATAATTCTGACTTGATCTGTACATTCTGTGCATTTCTGTCAGGATTGACCCCCATCAAATCCAAACTTCTGTTACAGATTAAAAGAAATGTGACCTTATTAAATGTCCTCTTCCCAGCATCCCCTCTCAGTTGATTACATGTAAGTGTTTTGTAATTAATCTAGGGAAGATTTGTCATGGTTATTAGTTGTCCGCCCCCTTCCGAATGGACAAATGTAAGTAGCCAAATGGGAGGCTTTACAGCAGGAGGATGGATTTATTTTGTTCTAATGCAACATCCCACCGAAGCTCCCTGTATGAGACATAATTACACTCAACAAATGAAGAAATCCTTGTTTGTTGTTTAGATTTCCAATTTTGATGTGTATCCCCCCCCCCCCCTTTTTTTTTCACTTTAATGGCAACATTTTTTATTATCCCTGCTGAATACAAGAGGATTAAAACGTGTCAAAGAAGAAGTCATGAATTATTCCAGCTACACAGCAGATAATTGTAACACAGAGACTGCTAGAGGGGGATTAAATTTAGACTGCGGGTGTTAAGCTATAACACCCTCACAGCAGGTGCATAAAAAAAACAGGCAGCCATACGCAACCTGTGCTCTAAAGTTAAAAGTGTGGATACCCCCAGCATATTTTACCCATTGATGTCAACAGTGTAAGGCTCTCTAGAGTCTGCCATAATAATTACTGACTCTCCAAGCAAGAAATCTTTGCCATCTCTCTCAGAAATACCAAAGAACAAATGCGCCCAAACTGTTACTTTTAAATTCCGTGCCAGTTGTCAGGACTATTTTACTTTTTTTTTTTTTTTTTTTTTTTTTTTTTTTTTTTTTTTACTTTATTTAGAATTGTCGGACTCTCTTGTACATTTTTCTCTTAATGGAAAAAATAAAATCATCATTTTAAAAGAATCAAAAAGCTTCTGATACCTTGATTGTTTTTTCCGATCTTGAATTAGTATATCAGAGTAAAGCTTTTGTAGTCAGTCATTGCAAATAATAATAATAATAATAATAATAATAATAATTATAATAATAACAAGTAGCCTAAATAAAAAAAATTACCGTGAAGATCCGTATTTAAAAAAAGTATTTTAACCTGCTCCATTCACACTTTTTCCAGAATTGCTTTCATTCTGCGCTTTGCTTAGTGCTGGCAAGTAATTTTGGTCTAAAACTTTATACGAATTCCTCAAACTTTTGCTTAAGACCAATATTACCCATTGTTAAAATAATTTTCAGCAGTCTTGCCTATTTGTTATTACTTAAAGTTATTCTTAATAAAACTCACTGGTACACCCTCGTAATATTATGACTATGACGCCACTGTTTATTCTCACTGTACTCTCCTCTCTCTTTCCTCTGCGCACACACAAAATACACAGAATGGGCATGGGACCCCTTGCGCGCGAAGCGAACCATGACGTTCAAAAAGCAGTCAATACGCGCTCGAGCGAGTCCATCCAGAGCTCGCGCCCTAAACTCCCGCCCTCAAGTGTGAAGCGCGAGCGCACGGTGGAAGACGGTAACGGTAACCCCTTGACGCGCAGGTGACGGCCACGTAAAGCGCACCACTCAACCGCTAACCGAGTCCCCTTTCGGTTCAATAGACACCGTACTGAAACTTAGGCTATATCACCCCTTAGACCTCAAATCACCCTCATAGTCGCTCACCAAGCACGCTGTCCCGTTGAGGAGCAGCAGGATGAAGCCGTGGTCGGAGCGCATCTCGTCGGTGTCCAGCTGTCGACAGCTCTCCGTTCAAGAAGCCGCGGTTCCTCCGGTACCGTATCCAAAACAGGCGAGACCCGGTCCCATGTCCAACAAAAAAAGTCAAGCGCGCGAGCTCTCCTCGAAGTGGGAATCCCACCTGCTGTCTGTCACAGTAAACTCCCGCTACTTGGAGCGCGCCACATCCAAAGCTGTGTGGTAACTGACAGGACACTTCATCGCTGCCATCTGCGCACACTTTGCTCCGTGTTGTGTTGCGGTGTGAGGCGAATCATCTCCGTTATCCGCGCTTTTATGTGCTGGTGACGGTTTAGGATCCCAGTGCGCGAGCCTGACCGGAGCGCAAACTCCTCGAGCGTCGCGCACATCAGTGCATGCAGACTGGCAGCAGGACTCCTGCACGCGCTGACGTTTTAAACCCCCCTCTCTCTTTTCATCGTCAGAACCCCCAATCTTCCTCTCCCCTCTTTCCCTCCTTCTCCCCCTCTCTCTTTCTCACATACACACGCATACCCAAAGCTCCAAAACGTAACCCATTTATTTTTCTTTCTTTCTTTTTTTCTTTCTTTCTTTCTTTCTTTCTTTCTTTCTTTCTTTCTTTCTTTCTTTCTTTCTTTCTTTCTTTCTTTCTTTCTTTCAACCCCATTCTATCGAAAACGAAACGAAACGATTAAATTGAATCACAATTAGTTCAAGCCTTGTAAGTTCTATTTGACAAATAATTCACAGTGTTTGGTAAATAATGCACAGCATATTGGGGGATCTCTGTTATTTCTACTACCTAGAACATCAAATACAGTTGGTCAGTCTGATATCATTCATTATCATGTTCTGAATACAAACAACGAAAACCTACACCCATGATATGTACAAAAAACCTACTATGTTAGAGGTTTTTTTTTTTTTTGTATAATCATTCAAATAATTTTTATCTGAGACACCATGCATTGCTAATTGCAGTGTACACTGATTATATATATATATATATATATATAAAGCTTGTGTGAACAAGTCATATTCTATTGTGTGATCAACTCCTCAATTACAACCAGTACATGTTTGGACACTGAAGCGGTATTCCACGTCTTAACTTGTGGATTATCTAATTTTTGCCTGTTTATTTTGGATTCACATTAGGAGGATTTTTTTATTTTTTTTATTTTTTTACATTTAAAAACAAATGAAAAACAAAACAAAAATATTTTGACATGACAGGTTTTTGTTTACCATGTTCTGTATGACATTAAAGGGATAGTTGAACTAATTTTAAAATGACCTCATCATTTATTCTCCCTCATCTGGTTTTAAACCTTTATGAGTTTCTTTCTTCTGTTAACTAACAACAAAAAGTTATTTTAAAAAATGCTGGTTGCTGGGAGCCATTATGAAAAAAAACATGGCAATAAGCAAGGCAAGAGGCTGCATATGGCCTCAGTTAATCTTAGGGCCCCCAAATAAAAACCTAGAAGTATAAATTGTTCCTATACATTTTGTATACATAATTTTCATAATTTTGCAAATGCGCAAATGTGTCCCCCACCTTCAATCATGGAGCAGTCCAGCAGTCAAATTAGGAAAGATTTAATTTTAAAATTGAAATAGTTTATATATCATTTTATTGTGAATCCATTTTTAAGAAAACTAATCATTTAAAACATTTTGCATAATGCTTTACATGTTGTTATTATTATTTTGCATGGAGACAAAATTTAGAAAAGGAAATTAAGTGTTATTAGAATACAAAACAGCAAAATAAATCAATTACAAATAAATTAAAGTACAAAAGGTGCATTTTAGAACTTTTGGTCCCCATGGCCGGAATTGCTCAGGGCCCCCAAATCACTAAATCCACCCTGATGGTAGTCAGTGGATGCCAATAACCAGCATTCTTCGAAATATCTTCTTTTGTATTTAACAGAAGAAGAAAAAAAGCGAAAATATGTTTGAAACAAGTGAAGGGTGAGAAAACAATTACAGCATATTTATTATTGAGTGAACTATCCCTTCAGGTGCATTTTTTTTTAAAAACCTATTGATAAGCAACAGAAAGATGTCCTTCCCTCACTGTGCTGACGGCAGGAGCGTCACAGGTTATTAAACCTGATGCCGATGGTACCTTGTCACAAGGTGCATGCGCTTGTTATTGGTTTGTCTGAGTCGATGCACCTCTGTTATCTGTTTTGGGTTATTTGCCTCTTCTTTTTTTCATCCAAGATGCTCTCCTCTCCACCTAACTGGTAATTGGCCCTGGGAGAGGCCTGGTATGCGTATTGTGATGCGATTTGTTTAGTTTTATTGATTTGAAACAGCCCGGCATCCTCTGCCTTGCTATGTGAGTCTAATATGAAATCAGATCACTTGTTCTAAAGCCAACTGATCACCACACGTTTGTTGCCAATATTTATTTTCTAGTCTGTCTTTTTGCCAGTAGTGAGTGATAATCTTTTTAAATGTCATTACTTTTTCTTCTTTTTTTCTTTCCTAATCTGCATATTGATCTTTACATTTTGTCTCTCAATCTCCAGGGTTTCAATCAGAGAATTTGACCCTTTGCCCTCTTGCCTTTTCATCACCTAGCCAGCGCAGACTTGCACTTAATCATTCACACACACACAGCTTCAATGCCCATTAATATTATCTGACAGGGGATGTACAATGACCTTATAATGTCAGAGGTCACACACACGTGGTACATTAAAGCAATAGACTCATTAACTCTTTTTTTTTGTCTGCAAATCAACCATTTCTACAAAAATAACCTTTAATATAGTAATGAAACATAAATAAATCTAACTGTGTGCATTTCTTTTTAAAGGGAGATCATCTTAAATGGCTTCACAGGATTAACGCTATTTTTTCTTATGTTGACTATATGAAAGGAATAGTTCACTCCAAAATTAAAATATACTCACTTTTTACACCCCCTTAAGTGGATCTAAAACATTACAAATTTCTTTCATCTGTTAAACACAAATGAAGACATTTTGAAGTAAGCTGAAAACATGAAACCATTGACTTCCATAGTAGAAAAACAAATACTATGGAAGTTAATGGATACAGGTTTTCAACTTCTTCAAAACTTCTTTTGTCTTTAACAGATGAAAGACAGTCAAATAGGTTAGCAATTAGTGAAGGACAAGTGGTCCAAATGACGACGGAATTCATTTTTGGGTAAACTTTCCCTTTAAGAATATGCTTAACAATTATAGATTAGCAAAGAGAAATGTAAACTAGACACGCTTCATACCTTTGTCGACCTTTCTGCAATATTCAGAGAAATTATGCATAAGGATAATGTTACAGGCCATGCGGTGTGTGTCTGTGATAGAAAGAGATAGTGTCTTTGTTGTCTGTCTGCGAGCCTGCATTAGTGTAGGGATCAGGACTGAGGGCGTTAGTGGCTTTATCTCGTTTCACAACACTAATGTCATTTGAGTGTGCTGTGTGGGAGACGGTGGTAATCCAATGAGGAGTTGCTGCGTCTGTGACGAACAATGGAAAGGCCTCTAGCGCCATCTTGTGTCGAATCTTGTTAGTATGGCCTTTTTGGAAACTCGTTGTAAATACGTGTTTGATCAACCACGCTTCTGAAGGACCATCATCCTGCAGTTTAGCTCCAATATTTTCTTAAACACAAACCCAGTCCTAGTTTATCTCGTAATCCACAATTTTGTGACTTCAGTGCTCGCAGAAGTGTGGCAGAAGTATGTTTTGAGGGTGAGTAATGACTGCAAACACGTTTGAAAGGTAACATATAGGTTTGGACAAACACGGCTGCTGAGAGCAATCCAATTTCACATGTGCACATGAAGTGTGTTATTTGAGTTTAGGCCACAGTTGTGTTCTCTAGAGCCTGGATACATTGACTGAGTTGTTTGGATGTTTAATTAGGGTTCTAAATGGCAATAGTGGCTCTCCAGAAACATTTTTGTCCACCTGGTCTAACAAATAGTGTTGTACTTACTGTAAGTGCATTTAAGTGCAAAAGCATTTTTCGGAAGGTTTTGATCTGGGTAAAAAAAAACTATTTTGCACTAGGGATTGTCTTAAAGCTTTGATCCTGCTATTCATATGTTGTTGTTGTGCCAAAAGGGACTGTGTCAAAAATGTAAACAAAATGTATACAAATGGCCACTAAAGTCAATATATTAGTGCAAAATTTTTGTTTGTTAAAATTAAGCAGTAGTATAGCAATAACTTGGTTTTTATTACACATAAATGTGGTGTAATGTTTGCAATAAAACCTGTTGAAAAAAATAGCTTAAACCAGCCTGCTAGGCTGCTTTTCACTTGTCAGGTTGGATTTAGCTGGTGTTACCTGTTTATTTCCCAGCCTGACCCGCTAAGACCAGGCTTGAAATGGTTAAAATCAGTCTAGAAATGATAGAGGTAAAGATTGAAATCAGTCTAGAAATGATAGAGGTAAAGATGGTTTTATATTCACACATTCGTTCATTTTGAAGTCCCTATATTGTTTACCATGTTACTTTGAATATTCGACCAGAATTGGCATGCAAGTATGACTTCTAAACAACATTAACACTCTTTATTTGACTGTGAACAATGTTGTACTTTGATAGTCATTTGCTGCTATTATGATTTCGCTATTTAAAACTTGCAAAAACTATTTTATGATATTATATTATTAAGGGGAAAGTCTGAATGTGCGAATATAAAACCAACTTTACCTCTATCTGGAAATGGCCAAACACCCCTCTAAAACCAGGCTGGTCAACCAGCAAAAATCGGCATACCAGCTTACACAGGTTTAAGCTGTTTTTTACAGCAGGGATGATTTGCATGATTACAGTGAAATGATTACAATGGATATACAAAAGTAGTGGTGTGGGTGTATTTATTTATTGATTGGGTTATTGAATTATTAATTTGTAGTTAATGAAAATACTTTCTTATTGAAAGCTGTGCAATTTTTATTTTGGTTTCGTTTTATATATTGTGTAATGATTCATAGAAAGTAATAATTAATTTGACCACTAATCGTGATGATTTATTAAAATATTTGTGTTGATTAATAAATGTTTGTATTGTATGGTTGTAATGTTTTGTGAGTGTCGGAGCATTTTGGAAACAAAATAATTGATTTTGCCAATTTGAGCTCCAGTTACTGCCTGTGTGTTAACAGCTTTAAAAATGAGATATTTGAGTGGACAAATGTGTTTAAGCAATTGAGAAATAAATTATATATTAAATTCCTTTTAAACAAAACAATAAAACTACTTTCCACAATAAAAATGATTCCAAACAAATCCCTAACATTGTTTTATGTCCTGCACAATGCGATGAATCAACTTATTTAACTTCTTCTTCTTTTTATAATTTAGTATTATTATTTCTTATTATTATTATTATTATTATTATTATTATTATTA